GAGAGAGAGAGAGAGAGAGAGAGAGAGAGAGAGAGAGAGAGAGAGAGAGAGAGAGAGTCCTATCTCGAGAAAACTTTCCCTAATCTCGACGAAATTTTCCTTTCGCATCGAACCTTCCTTACAATTTTCTACTTTGTTTACCTTTGGTGACCCCGTTTCCAAAAGTCTGCCATCTCTGCTGGATGACTGTTCCTTTTCGTTGCGTTCGTCAACATTTAAGCTGCAGCGCTTCGCACAAAGTAAGAATTTTCCACGACAATTGCAAGAGGCACTTAAGTGATAAAAGTCTGCAGAATAAGAAAACGCGTCACGGGGCCATCCGGTTTGTGAAATCGCGATCGAAAGGATCTCGCGGAATCGGTAAGGACTTTTGACCGGCGAACGTCTGCGAGGAATGATCGAGCGAGTCAAAGAGCGAGGACCATCGAGCGTAATCGATAATAGTTCGTTGATCCCAGAACAGCAATGTATTTTTCAGGGTTAGCGTTATCTCGCGAAAGTGTCACGCTCGCGAAAAGAAAAGAGACGATCGATCAACGCGATAACATCGACGGCACCGCGAACGTCAACGTCGAACGATAATTCCAGCTGGACACAACCACTGTCGAGTCTTTTTATTTTATTCCTTTTTTTTGTTTTTTGAAAATTAAGGCGCAAAGATCAGAGAGGCAGGGCACGACCGATAAGTCGGCCTTTTTTGCCCGATGATTGCAGATAATCGATACAAGAGAATCGCGCGGCGCGGTCATTAGACTCGATACTCTGACGCGTAATTACCAGATTGATATTGAACCGCGATTGTGGGAAATTCTGCGAAACTGATCGTTCGCGAAGTGCCTGGTATTTTCGATTAATGGAATCTGATCTTCATTGTCGAATAATGAGAGTTCGAACGGAACGAGTGAGGACCGATACGAATAAGAAATTAGTAACAGTTTTATTTTATTTCTGCCAGAAGAAAGACATGTTTCCCTTATTTTAGTCGAAAATCGAAGAGCCGCAGTTCTAGTTCTAACTATGCACGCTGCCAGCGAACGTTTCAGGAACACGCGTTCGATCGGATAGAATTCGCCTCGGACGCTTCTGGACTGCCGGATTATTTTCACGGGTCAGAATTTCTTGCGGCGGCTCATTAACGATACAGATTTCTGGCCAGCACGATGAGAAAGTTGAAAACGGGTCGATCTTTCGACAGCGAAGGCGCATTAACTTCGGTAGCACACGGTGGCGGGGATCGGTTTTATAATCGGGCAACGGAAGATGTCAATGCTCCTTCGCGGTGCAGAATTCCAGCTTCCTCTTCGCGTTCTCTCTCTCTTGTATCAATTCTACAAATTGAATACACGATACCTCGGCGGCTGGATCACGTTTCGCCGAATTGCTCCTTCGTCTCTTTCTCCCACAATAAATTTATTTGTTTCCTGATTCGAGATTATCTGTTATCTCTCTCTTTCTCTCTCTGTCTCTCTTCAACAAAAAAAGTGGCTCCACGCTACCTCTGTCGGTGCCGATATAAAAAGAGGTCGTTGCCACCGAGTCATTGTTGTGTATCGGGTGATTTACCACTACGTGAAAAACCGCGTCGCTTAGGACGCGCGAAGCGTTTAACAAATTTTAACAAACAGTACGGACGTATCTGCCAAAAATTTTAAACGGCATCTTTATGAACATATATACAGCAGGGACTGCTACAGTTGACGAAATAAATGCTTCCTTGTACGGATTTTTAAAGTCGCTTACGAAAATACATGTCTGTACTCGCCGGTACATGCTTATTAATCTCGTGGAGCGAATTAGCTCGTCTCTACTCGTGAACTTCATTCGACGAATTAACTCGTCTCTGCTAGTGAATTTCATGGGACGAGCTGAGTCACCACTAACACTGAATTTCACACAGGAGAGTGAACTCTTATTCAACAATTCGAAACTAGTCCAAGCTAGTTTCACAATGCTACTTTGTAGCTAGATCAAAGAACACTTCCCCCATGATTTATACAGGGTGCCATGAAATTCTAAAAGGGAGCTAGAAAAAACATATGAGAGAGAATATGTGACGTATATAAATGTTATCGAGCAGCCGAACAATTTCAAACTCGATACACCTGTTGGCATGAAGATAACTGAAATGTGTGCATCTTAAAAATATGTACACAAATAACAAAGCTGAAACGTTTTTAAATTGTTCGTTCAACTTTGTAGCTTGATTTAGGTACATATTCGTTTTCTGTGCTATGCACCGGGTGTCCCAGAGTTGCAAATGCAAAATTAAAAGATTCTTGAGCTTAAAGTTCGTTAATAATTCTAGAAAATAATGCTAACTGCAACGAATATTAAAGATAGATAACAAGATAGGCCGATAGGAACTAGAACTAATTAAAATTAATGGAGACTAATAAAGTTTTGTATAACGCTCTGTTGGTAACGTTCCTCGTGATATGAAGGTATTAATGCGGCATTAATGATCCGAAAAATTGAGCTTTGAGCATGATCTTACATCTGATCGATGATTCAACTATTTTATATTTATAAAATATCTTTTTAGCGATTTGATGCCTGCAGTGCTAGCAACATCAACTACAACTGCCACATCTGGTTGCCATTCTACAGGGGCTCTCGCATGTGACTTGAAATTACAATAAATTGTTGAAGTATAACAAATTCGTCTGGAAAAGTTGTCGAAATATAATGAAATGTTAAAATTAAATAGAAGTTCCTTTTATTTGATTTTGCTGTCCATGTTATTTAAATTTGCATAAATATATATATAATATATATATTTATATGATGTATAATTTTATTTGTGTAAAATTATTCATTATACAATTGTAGAAAAGGGAATGCATACCAAGTATATGCTATTTGTAGAACACCAATTCTGATCATGTACCCTGAGGAAAATATGGTCTAATCTCTCTATAAAGGCAATAAAATAAAATGCAGTTTTCATTGTTCTGCTATCATAAAAATAATTCTTCTACAAAATATATACTTTTTTTAAGCAGTAAAACATTAGACATAAATGAAATAATCCCTGATCTCTCTCTCTCTTTCCCTCCCGGATTATTAGAAATGATTTTATTCATTGGATACCCAGCCTATTTTCTTTAAAATTTCCTTAGCATCTGTAAATACTTTCTCTGGTGTCTGCATACTATTTACTTTAAACAGTAAGTTCTGCTTTTCATAGTATTCAATTATGGGCAAAGTGGCCATAATATATGTCTCGTGCCTCTTCACTAACACTTCTTCGTTATCATCGCTTCTGCCACTTCCTGCAGCACCACGTTTCAGGCAGCGTTGTGTGCATACTTCTTTATTGCATTCGCAAAACAATACTCCTTTTACTATACATTTATCAGACATTGTCTGTGAACAAAACATGTGTTAAGGTGAAGTGGGATAGATAAAAATTTGCTCTTTAATTAATTCTACTACCAATGACAAACGAATGAATGTTATACCTCATTCCACCCATCCACGTTATCCTGATTTCGTGGGAAACCATCGATCAGGTATCTTTTGTGAGGACTATAATGCTTTTGCATTGCTTGATCCAAAAGGCTGCAAGTGATTGCGACAGGTACGATCTTCCCATCGCGAATATAATTCTCGATCAATTGCCCATACTGCGAGTTAGCGTTCCGACGTTCATCTCTGAGCAGGTCACCAGCCGATAAATGCACATAACCCAACCTTTCCATGATGTATTGACCCAAAGTACCTTTCCCAGCGCCAGGGCCTCCCAGTATAAATAAAACCTCGTTTTTTGGAATTGTGGACATGGTGAATAATCGCAGTCCAGCTGTAAACACGTTTAACATAAAAATATGACTTGACTTCTTTCACGGCCGTATCGAACAATTCTTGTTTTCCGTAGCATTATGGCGCCACTCTTGATTCGCTTGAAGTTTCAAAACTTGTTTAAAACTGGACTAAGTGATTTGAATTTTTTTAAATGATACAGGGACTAGTCAACCAGACAATGACTAAAATGCCTTCTTTTAATTTTGCTATTACTTCGCAATTACTTGCTGTTTTTAGCATGCATATAAATTACCGAGATCTACGAGAGGCATTTCCTAAATTTGCATTATAGGCTCAGATAAGAAAGTTAAAAACGAGAGTTTTTTTATTTTTTTTTTTTCGTTATCCCAAGTAATAGCAAAATTAAAAAGGGCATTTTAGTCAACGCCTAGTGGACTAGTCCCGCTATCATCTAAAAAAAATTCAAGTCACTTAGTTCAGTCTTAAAAAAATTATTACGTTTTAAAAGGTATACACTCAATTTTGTGATTTTGTAAAATTACCCAAAAAGAATGTTGGTCTAAGTGGTTATTAATGCATAGTGTTTTTACTGATCGAAATGGCAATATGTCAATATGTATATAGACAGCTGACGAAATTCTCATTATCGTAACAATTCAAACTAGGCAATTAAGTTAGAGAAAATCATTTTAATATACATAGGATGTACATACAGGTTTAAATATAGATTCTGCAGTCTAACTATATAAACTATAAGATTCTCTGCATGAAAAATATAACATATGTACATATACCCTAAATTGTGCTGTTACTGCGCTGTTACATTTTCATTACATACCTGTACTTACGTATTTGAATGAACAAAATAGCGTAGAATGATTAAAATGTTTTTATAATTTTTAACGAAATCTTAAACAATATTTTGACGAAATCGCATAAATATGTACAAAGTATTGTCAATTGTCACTGCACTGGAATATCAGATAACAGAACCGCGGTGTCTTTCAATGAAGTACTACTAACCTTACGACGCAGATTACTGCATTAATTACATAATGTGAGAAGATGCCGGCAAGTATGTTATTGCAATGACTTACGGATTTTGAATGACAACGCAATAGTTGCAAATATTTCGATTACACTTAGTCATTTATATATGTATATATTTATATATATATATAATAAAATAAATTACCACAGGAAAAAGTTGAGGTTATGCTGGATCTGTAATATTTATGTGTGAAAGTTATAAAACGGAATAATGATAATAATGCGAAGATGCCAACAATTTATTTCATCCAGAAAGCTGCTAGCCTCATATCCCCAATCTAGTCAAAGGTTATGTGTTAATCAATTAAATCCACTTAATACAATTCATACTTCATTGTACAATTATGATGATCATAAAAGAAACTATGCATCGACGGAAAATGTGTTAAAATCCGTTGAGATTTCGTCAAAGCCGAACAATGAGACGATGCATCCTTTATTATCGAATATGCCACCAGAACAAAATGTAACATTTGCCACGAAATTAGTCAATAACAGTTCACCCAAGATTCGACCGTACTTGAAACTGTTAAGGATCGACAAACCAATAGGTAAGATAACATAGTCAAGATTATACAGTTAACAGTAGGTAACTATGATATACTTTTTATTACATTAATATGTAGAAGATATTAATTGTTAAATATTTGTCTATATAGGTTCTTGGTTATTATTTTGGCCATGCAGTTGGAGCATAGCATTAGCTGCACCACCAGGTGCTTTGCCAGATTTACAACTCTTAACACTCTTTGGAATTGGTGCATTCATCATGCGTGGAGCAGGATGTATAATAAATGATATCTGGGATCAAGATATTGATGGAATGGTAATATCAAGTTTATGTACTCTCAAGATTAAATGTTATGAAGATCTTCCAATGTTAGGTAGCCAGAACAAAAGATAGACCATTGGTAACTGGAGAAATTTCACCTCTTCAATCGCTTGTTTTCCTTGGAAGCCAGTTAACTTTAGGATTACTAGTGTTGTTACACTTAAATCTTTATAGTATAATATTGGGTGCAAGTTCAATGGGTATACTTTTCGAATTTTCGTTTAGAACAGTATTTCTCAATTTTATTATCACCAATTTTAAGGTAGAAGATCCAACTTACCTTTGTAAGAATAGCCCAATAGTTATTAAAACCCCAAAAGATTTTAATTTCTTAAACAGTACAATAAATTGTTCTTTTATAATGTTCATTGACTAAAATTTAGAAATGCTGTTAATATAAATACTAAAATATAGTTAAATTTTCAATATTTTTTAATTGCAGTTTTAGTAATGCTCTACCCTGTTATGAAAAGGGTAACATTTTGGCCACAATTGATGCTAGGAATGACTTTTAATTGGGGTGCTCTTTTGGGCTGGTCTGCTGTACAAGGATCATGCAATTGGTCCGTGTGCCTGCCCCTTTACACTGCTGGAATTTGTTGGACACTTTTATATGACACTATATATGCACATCAGGTAAACCCTTGCAACTTCTTGCTATTAATATCATTTTATCCTTTACTATTATATTACAGGACAAAATATACGACGCTATAGTAGGTATCAAATCGACAGCTTTAAAATTCGGAGATAAAACTAAAATATACTTGACTGGGTTCGGCACAACCATGATAGCTAGCTTAATTACGTCAGGTATTATAGTCTCACAAACTTGGCCATATTACACAGCAGTAGGATTAGTTAGTGTCCATCTCGTTAATCAGGTATGATTTGATTTAAATCATATTTAAATAAGAATAATATTGTTTAAATAATAGATCATCAATATAAATTTATTTTTAGATACACAGTTTAAACATTAATAATCCAACGGACTGCGCTAAAAAATTCATTTCGAATCACAGGGTAGGAATGATCTTATTTGCTGGAATTGTGTTAGGAAATCTGATGAAAGATTCAACGAAGAAAACAGACGATAACGTTGAACAAGAACAAGAAACTGAACAAATAAGGAGTAGATAAATTAAATTCAAATGTCTCTAAGAATATATTACATATGAGAAACCATAATTGCGCGTCCTAAACTGTACAAGATAAACTTCTGTGGATAACTGGCTGGTTCCAGGGAGCACAAAGAAATGCGTTTCAATTCGTACGCATAGATGTGTCAGAAACAGCGTGAATTCTTTGTTATAATTTGTACCATATTATTTTTAGTACAATTCAACGTCGGCGGAAGTGTTGAAGATAAAATTGGCTGATATACGAAAGAAATGATAGAAACTAAAGTTTATACCAAAGACTATTAATCTATAGTGATAATTATAATTGAATCGAGTGTTATCCAGGATTTGAAAAGAGTTATGATATCGGTTTCAATTCTCGAAACAGTTATGAAGAACCGAAATGTTCTCATAACTGTTATAAGATATATTGTTTCTGACTTATATTGGTTTCGGTTCGATCTTGTTTTTCTTTCTTAAATAATTTTAATAAGTTGTATTTAACATATCCACATTTTTAGTTTCTTTCAATTTTGTCACTATTCTATGTTTCACCTATACATTTTTCCTATAAATGAATAAAATCCGCAGTCTAATTATAAGTTACTACATATATAATACACATATATTTATAAGTAATTTAAAACTTATGCATAAATGTTTGGAGATTGTAGAAGTAAAATGTATATTATATGTATGTTGTGTAAACATAAAGACTTAAATTCGTAATATAATCGAAATCCAGAACCGAAAAATAATAGTTATAGAACCGATATAATATCGGTTCTCAAGAACCGAAATCCATATACCTCAGAACTGTTATGAAACTTTTTCAG